CTTCAGATCGATATCATACTCATGAGCTATGGCGAGGATATCATCACCTTCGTTGGCCTCTACCGTTTTCAGTAAATTTCCTTTTGAGTCCTTAAAATGGACTTTTATGCTGCGAACGTGCCCTACACAATTAGAGCGATGGTAGCGGAAATGGAGGAACGAAAAGCACCCAGTACCAGGCGGTGGTCTATTGATTCCGGAGTGTCGGGAAACTGCAGGACGCCAATGAGTTCGGTAGGGTACTATTGCCGATAATCCTGCAAACCTGCCGACGTATGAAAGCTACGCGTCCTGCTGGACGAGTATTTTGACCTGCCTCTTCCGTTCCCCTTTGCGTTATTGGAAGGTGATGTCCGTTGCGGTAGTCTTCCTAAGTATCGCCGCAGCAAGGTAAAGCTTGGAGTCATCAGTGAATGAAGCAGCAGCACGTGATTTGGGTCTTTCTCGATCTGCTTGTGCTTACGGCTCGCGCAACTAGACCTCATTGCAGTATTCCGCAATGAAGACTTGCCACCGAAATTCATTCCGAACAGGACGCTCAACCTTCAACTCTCCGACCCACGGAAGTGTTATCGCATCGTCAATGGCAAGATCTTCTGTACTTTACCCTCCCCGGCTTAATCCATATGGAATGCATGGAAGGGGGGTGGATTCCAGGAATTCCAGATGGATTCCATGGAATGGCAGATGGACTCCATACTTTCTGGGGATGGATTCCATGGAATGGCTGATGGACTCCATACTTTCTGGAGATGGATTCCATGGAATGGCTGATGGACTCCATACTTTCTGGAGATGGATTCCATGGAATGGCTGATGGACTCCATACTTTCTGGAGATGGATTCCATGGAATGGCTGATGGACTCCATACTTTCTGGAGATGGATTCCATGGAATGGCTGATGGACTCCATACTTCTTTCAGATGGAATCCATGGAATAGCTGATGGACTCCATACTTTTTTAGATGGAATCCATACTTTTTCCATATGGAATTCAGATGGAATAAGTCCCAATTCCACAATTATTATCATAGAATCACAAGTCCAGACTTAATCTGCAAAGTTCCAACTTAAACACTAATAAATGAAGAAAACTAAGGTGTATTGAAACAGACTACATAATTTTATTTTACTACATATAATATTAAAGGGAGGGGGAGGGAGAGGTATAGATATAGAGTGATCAAGGGAGGGGGAAGTGATGGAGGGGAGTGGGAGTTGTGGAGAGAGGGAGTTGTGGAGAATGAGGAGGGAGGGGAGGGGTGGAGAGTGATGGAGGTGGGGAGTTATGGAGGGGGAAGGAAAGGTGGAGAGGGGGGCAGCAATTAGAGGGGGAGCAATGGGGGAGGGTGTGATGTGGAATAATGATGGAGGGAGGGGGGGCTCACCTGGGCTCGTCACTGTGTTCGTGGATGGGCGGCGGACATTTTCGGTGGGCGGGGGACGTTGTTTCGTGGGCGGTGGACGTTTTCGGTGGGTGGCGGATGTTTTCGGTAGGCGGCGGACGTTGTTTCGTGGGCGGTGGGCGGCGGACGTCGTCTTCCTTGGCGGGGGGACGTCGTTTGGTGGGCGGTGGGCCGTTGGACGTCGTTGGGGGGGGGCCGTTGTTCATGGGCGGTTGACATCCTTTGCGGTGGGGCGTCGTTCATGGGCGGGGGACATCTTTTCGTGGGCGGGGACGTCGTTTGCGGTCGCTGGACGTCCGTGGGCGGTCGTTTTCGTGGGCGCTGGTCGTCGTTGGTGTGACGTCGTTGACGTTGGTGGGCGCTCGTTTTCGTCGGTGGGCGCTCGTGGGGGTGGGCGCTCGTTGACGTTGGTGGGGTGTGTTGGTGGGCTGTTCGTGGTGGTGAGTCCTCGTGGCCGAGCAGAGACGGCGAACGACGACCGATGTCGTCGTTCGCCGTCTGGTTGCCACGTCGCGACGTGGCACCTGTAGTTTGTGTTAAAAAGGAGAGTGGGTGGGGTGGTTGTTCCCACTTACCTGGGCTGGGCCCTCGTCACGCGTCGTCAGCGTCAGCGTCGTCGTCGTCGTTGTCGATGTCGCGGGCGGTCGTGGTTTGAAACGGTGGTGGTGGATGGTGATGGTGGTGGTAGGAAGGAAAGAACGACGTGGCAACGCTTCAGCCACAGCTGTCACGTTTGACGCGGCACGTGCCTAAAAGCGGTATATACATACCTTTAGTTTCTCATATAATAATGCCTTCATGGCTCAGTCGGCTTGAGCACTGCTTACATTCACGAGGTTGAGAGTTCAATTCTTTGAGATGTAAAAAAATTTATTTTACTTACTTACTTATAGTAAGGACAATGTATTCTAATGGTATAATAGTCATTAATTCCATTCCATGGAATCCATATGGACTGCTCCATGGAATCCATGTGGATATGCCTGCATTCCATATGGAATCTGATGGAATCCATATGGAATGGTGTTGGAGTCCATATGGAATTAATCATTCCATGACCATTCCAGCATCATTCCATATGGAATCCATGATGTCCATGGAATCAGAAACTGGCTGTGTCCTCAGCCAACATTGATTCCATGGATTCCATATGGAATTCTTTATGGATTCCATGGATTCCACATGGATTCCATATGGATTATACCGGGGAAGGTAAAGACCTCAAGATCTTCGACCTTTCATAAGCAAAAGTTTCAAGATCCTCCAGCCGCCGCGGCGCCTATGTGTACCAAGTAAACAACAAAGGATCTGAACTTCCCCCGTCTGTCGTCATCATGCCCTCTTCCTCGTTGTGGCCCATTCGTGAAACCCAGAAGACGCAGTGTATTTGAAGGGAACGTCGCGGTGGAAGGGGAGGAAGTGAGTCCTTCGACCAGGATGTGTACGGATCGTCTGATGAAGCATAGATACGTGCGTCCTTTTCACCCTTCTCTTTTTTCCAAAAGACGTTCCTGACACCGGCATACAGACCCACAAAGTTCATCTCGTTCTCATTCGTCATGCCCGCTTCGATTCTTTCCCACAAGACGGGCAAGGGCTCGTTCCTTTCTCTTCCCTTGTCCTACCTGTGACCAGCTCGAACAACCACCTTCATGGATGGTGACACTCTCTAGAATGAATCTCACTCCTTGGCACCAAGGAGGAAGAACGGTCTATGAGCTCGGAAGAATAGCTTGGACATAATGTTGGCAGGCAATACTGACATATATTTGCAAATATATACTCTTCCAAGAGTCTGAAATCATTTGCACACAACACTATCCCTTATAGTTTACAGTATGTTTGCAAACAATTTGCAAATATCCTTATGTACTGTTTTCCTTCCGAATACAATTTCTGAATCGATGTTTGCAAACACCACCGAATGTTTGCACACATTGATATTGATGACTAAGCTGATCTGCAAAACGATGACGCATATTTGAAGATTGTTTGAAGATCTGAAATGACTAAGCTGATCTGCAAAATGATGACGCATATTTGAAGATTGTTTGAAGATCTGAGATGATATTGAGATCTCAGATTTTCATTCTCCCATATCATCAATGCGTGCATACATTACAATGTTTGCAAACATACTACTATAATAATAATCGGTACTTTCAGGCAGGTTCAGGATTGCGCTCATTGGAAATTGGGGCAGGCCGCCCTACCGCGCCACCCCACATACTCGGGGCTGTCATGCCCCTAAACTTGTGGGACAACAATATCATCCAGTGCATGATGCAGTATTTTTGACTTGCCCCATAGCCATTTGTAGCTCATGCAATTCTGTTCACAGTGTTAAATTCCTAGACGCTGATATTCTAGCCACATGATCAACCTCGGCAGATGCCGCCTGTCATGCTCCGCACTTCAAGGTCACCGCCATGAACAAGCCACGCACCATGACGCATAACTCATGAGCCTCGCATAGCAACAACCCGTTGGGCATGAGGGCCAGCTAGTACCAGGTAAGCAAATCACTCCTTCCTTCTATGTAACAAAAGTTATAATGACCATGACAGCTCTGGCAAGAACGATGCGCTGGAAAGGAGGCGAGTAAGGATGGAGAGGATAAGAGTGGGGTAATGAGGTTGAGGATCACCTTACGGACAAGGACTACAACGACGACTTCACAAACGGTGCTGATCTATTTCGATGTGATGCTCTATCTCCATGTTGTCTGCATCATACCTCGCGTTGGCGTGCCCAGTGCCCATGCCTTTTTTGAGGCAGCCATTTCCCATGTCGGAAACCCCTTCTTCTCAAGATCAACATCCGACGTCCAGATGCCGTGCAGTCACCATGTCTCCCAGGAGTATGCCTTGCTTTCTTTTCTCACATGCGCAGCACCGTCAATACCACCCTCCGTCTTGATGCCTGAGGCTCTGCACCTCTTTATCTCCATATCGACATCTTTTGGCGGCACGCCAACCGCTTCTCTACGTTGGTCCCTGCTTCCTGATGGCTCCTATTGTGGTTGCCCACAATGTTAACTTGACAAGATATTGGACATCAACGACATGAATGTGGGTATCAATGACCTGATACACCTTTTTCTCCATCCTTAGTTCTCGTAGTTGTTTCTCAATTTCTTGTACAAAGCGTTGTAGTTTTCTTGAACATAGATTTCAATCTTCGGTTTATCAGTCGCCTGTACTTGGTGAAGTCTACTCAACTGGGACCAAGCGGCTTCCGTTTTTTTAGATGGCCACAGCCTTCCCTCATGCAAAAGTGACCAATCGGACAATCGATCAGGAAGTCTAAGCAAATAGACATAGATTATAAAACTAATGATGAATGAAATGGTGGGTACGTTTCTAACTGGCCTTGTGAAATACAAACCGAAGTTACATTACTTTTTTGGTTTCCTCCCTTTTACCTTTTGCGTGTTAGAAATGACCTTCTTGGCAACTGGGGAGACATCACGACGAATGGGTTCTACAACAACTCGCCGAACGCGACGAGCGGCGAGGGAAGGCTCTTCAAGGGACCGTTTCGTCTTGGCCCCATGTGGGCTATCGATCTGGGCGCTCACCACTGCTTTTGTGGTCACAGCTTCAGCTTCTCTCTCTGCCTTTTTGGCAGCGCGAGTAGCAGCGGCCTTCTGAGCTGGGGTCAAGGCAGGTGCATCCGATGTGGAATGAATTTTCTTTCCACGTGTAGCCAGCTTGTGGATTGATGAAGGGACAGCAAGGGAATGGGGGCTAGGCGATGTGGCGGCTGGTTCTGTTGCGAGGACCTCAGGAACGTGGGCACCATCCATGTGATAATCGGTTGAGATGACGTTGGAATGCAAGTCGGGAACAGCATTTGGGACCTCAGGAACGTGTGCACCATCCATGTGACCATCAGTAGATGCAGAAACACATGCATTTGAGAGGATGTTGGAACATGAGTCGGGAATAGTGTTGGCACCGTGCTGAGTGAGGGACAAGGCCGCCGGCGCTGTCAGGATCGACTCAAGTTGAATACTATCTGTGCTATCAAGCACCCCCCGTTTCGCAAGGGGACGAGGCCTGGGCTTAGGGAGCTGAACGCCCCCCGTGTGAGAATCGTTTGACGTGGGGTTGGTGGGGGTCATGCTTTCTCTGAAGGTGTTCTGAGCTCGTTGTGATGGGAAGGTTGGATTGGGAACGGTATCATTGAACCGAAATGTACTGTCCACGAGGGTGTTATATCCAGCTTGAGGCGGCATTCCTTGTTGGGTGTGCTTCAAGAGAAGCTCTGGATCGATCTCTACACGGATGTCGTTGTCATGTGAATGCTGGGTTAGAGAAGGGGGGGGACCGTCAACTGGTGTGCGCATCCGGATAAATGCATGGGCAATTGGTGAAGATGGCCCTCCTGGATGATCAGCTAGATGATCTGGAAAGGGTAGGGCGTGATTCTGTATGTCATCGTCGAAGAGGGTGGGATCGATGAAATGCCGTTCACATGATTCAATATCAATAGGTCGGCGAGGGGGACGACCACTGATACCCTCTTTTGATGAATAGGATGGGGTAATAGGTAACTTTGGAGAAAGGACCTTCTGAATGATCGACGGCGGTGCAGAGGCAAAACTAGCAGGAGGACTCGTATCTCTGTCCGACATCACTTCCAGCCCCTCCAGCGAGATGGACTGTTCCTTTTCCCCCTCTTCAGTGATTGGATTCAAATTTGGATTGAGCGCACGCTGACGACGAATTTCGGGTGCTGGAAGACTTGGTTAACATGGACATCTCGCAGCGCGAACAGTAGATGTACTTACGGTAGCAACTCTTCACAAACTTTTGGAACGGGTCTTGGAATCCCGATTCAAACCCAAGATATGACTCTGTAAAGGTGTTCCCAGAGATCGACTTGGGACCGACGGAGTAACTGTTGATGTGGTGAGAATGACATTCGGTCAGAAAGAATATTTTTGCTTACTGATCCATGCAGATGCTGCCATTCGCACTTGGAGCAGGGCCAGCACAGGAGAGGAAGAAGAACCAGCCTGTTTCTCGTGAAAGCGCCTGAAGACCATTGTTGACGACGGCTGGAAGTTGGGTAATCGCTCTAGAACATAGTGTTTGTCAGTAAGTTTAGATATAAACAGCGCTTAAAAAATGACGCAACTTGTGGTACTCTTCTGGAGTCCTGCTCGTCGAATTCACGTCTTCCATCTCTGCATCAGAATCGGCAGAATCTTCAGCCTCCTCCCTCTCCTTTCTCAACCTCTCTCGCATCTCCTCAATTTTTTCATCCACCTGATTCTTCACCGATTGAGGTTCCATCTCCAGCATCCGCGCCGCAACCTTTCTCTGAACGGACATGCGCTCTGACGGATCAACTGCGCCGACCACTGCCCTCTCAAATGCCATGGCCTTGCGGACCTTGTCGGGGAACATAGTCGAGTACATCTCATCTTTATGGTACACGCGTGAATGTGACTTCTTGAACTGTTGCTTCTGTTTGAACAGGAATACGGAGGTGCTAGATTTGGTGTCACGCCTACGCTTAGCGCCATGCCAGTTCATCCAAGATCTGAGACGCTGCAATGATCCAATGGTAAGTAATAGTCATGATTGATGAAGACTGTTTCTTACCATTTTCGTGGATGAGACCTGGCTAGGCTCAGTGGGATACCTTGCGAACCATCGCTCATTCAGATCCTTCAAGAACCGATCAACTTTGCCCTGCTGCTGGGCATCAATAAAAAAGGGAGCGTTTTCATTCAGCCACCGCTCTTGATCCTCAGTTGTCCAGCGTTTTCCCATGACGGCGTTGGCAATGGTAGAGACACTGGTGAGTGATTTTGGCGAGAGGGGTTAAGTCGAGCTTGAGCTGAATTTTGGCTTACATCTGAGTCACTCTTGAAAGTATGAATAGAAGAATCACGTTGCATAGGTATGTTATTTTGTTCAACATGTGGACGATGAAATTTAGGTCCTGAGCACATCACTCTTCGACATCGGGGGTAAATTTCATATGATTTTTGTTGTTATTTCATGGTGGGACCATTGCTCTTCGACATGGGGGGTAAGTTTCATATGATTTTTGTTTTGACCTCGTGGTGGGTCCACTTTTATCTTATGAAATTTACGATTGGAAGCAGGTGAAAAAGACTTGTCACCATTTCACAGAATTTAATGCCGTCTTCCAGTTTTTGCACATACCATCTTCTTTCTTTCATCAATGTCGCTTCCGTGCACTCAATGCACCTCGAACAAAGAGGTCTTAGAGCGCACCATCGATGCGTTAAACGTCGCATATTCCAGTCAGTTGATGTTTTGGTTGTTTGACTTTGCGCTAACAGTGTTTTTCTTTTTTTCAAAAGCGATGCGAGAGTATAGCGAGGCATTTATTGAAAATCGTAGGTTGCTCTTCTTTATCGTTTCAGAAAATGACTAATCCTTCAACAGAATTACTCCTGGCAACGACTGAAGCATTGGAATCTGCATTGGAAGATCAGGGGTTGTCAGAAGTTGGTCAGTCAAGTGTTACTACATTAACAGGTAAGCCGATATCACTATTATAATATATTTCCGTGGTTGACTGAACTTCTTGGAGCAGGAGCTAGCGGTCCTGATCAAGGTCCCGCTATCGAGGAGGATTCCCCCGTTGCCAAGCCTCAGTCAGAATACCATCCATTTGTTGCTGCAGAGGATCGTTGGTATGCGGTTCTTGTGGGACGAGTTCCAGGCGTTTATCGGGGATCGTGCGTAACCCACATTAATTATATGCCCCTTCATGCTTACTTTCTGACAGACACCATATTGGTCCAAATGTTAACGGCATTTCTGGGTTTGTAGTAAACCGCTATAAATCTGAGCAAGAGGCACAGAGTGCATATGATGCGGGTTTAGATGCAGGTCACGTTGTGGAGGTGATCATGGTTGAGACTAGGCGCGTCATCACCCGGTCTACTCCTTAGATCTACATCTGTGTCTTCTCCAGTTTTGTAAACTCTTGCAATACATATGTTATAGTGTTAGTACTCAAGTGCGCAGCATCTCTGGTATAGCTATGTGCCAAACAGAGTTTAATTCCAACACGCAGGCGCTGCGGCTTGTAGCGTGCAAGTCCGACTAACGAGGGATTGCAAAATTTGAACTATTATTATTCTCCAAGCCCTAAGTGTCGACCTCTTGTGAACTGCGGTTGCAATCATTTTGCCAAGACACGCACCAGTAGCAAGATTCATTGGGTCATCTTGAATGAAGTTGATGCGCGTTTCCATGATGGTGAGGGCTTCAATCATGATCTCTAATAAACCTGCCACAATCGTCCACAGCTGCCTGATTTTCCATGGTTCTTCTGGCAGAATGCCACCGAAGAAACGGAGTGTGGCCAACATTTCGCTCCCCTTTTTGATGTGGTCACAGCAGGCCTCAATAAATTTACCCCCTTTGTTTGCCTTGAGAGCCGAGGAATACTCTGAAGGTAATACCTGGGCCCAAAGTTTATAGCCGCCCCACAGACTGCTCCATTCCAGGATTTTTTGACGTATAGATAAAAGGCGATAATATTCCCAGTTCTCTTGATCATTCTTGTCGAGTACGGTGTTCGGGTCATTCTCGGAAGAATGGAAATCAAATATTTCATTTGAGTAGTCTTCTTCACTGCAGTGTGGGTTAGTTCAGTAGAATTAGAGAATACAAATCCGAAGTTCACAAACATATCCATCTCCTTCACTGCAGAATCATTTTTTTCAGCATCCGCTGACAAGTGTTGCTTCCCGTCTTTTCTATCAATAACCTTTCAGCCTAGTAAAATCTTTTCATCTTTTACTTACTTTTTTTTAAGACGTGCCAAACGATTGCGCTCAGCGTTCTTCAGCCGAACCTCTGGCCCGTGACTACATCTAGAATTTAATTGATCTCCTTCATCTACTTGAATATGGCACACCTTCGATAGTATCGTTGATGCTTTGATAACCGTTCTGAGCTCGACTTGCCCTGACATTCCAAATTGTCTGTGTTTTGAATTTTGCCCATGGTTGAGTTGTGGATGCCAGCAAGAAGGGCGTAAATCAACGTCAACATTTGTGACTAGGTTTGCGACCAGTTGATAACTTGTTAGTCTGAAATCTGGATGGACTACCCCACTTGATTTGATTCTCAGCCTTTTCAATATAGCAACTTTCTTTTGTTCTCTCTATTTAGATTTCTCTTTTTAAAAAAGTAGAAAAAGAGTATGTACGGTCTGGCTGCAAGGGGTTTGCGACGGTGTGCGACGGTGTGCGACCATAGTACATGACCGTGAGAGGTATCCAGGAAAGTTCCCACAATCCTGGGGTGCAACACATCTTCCGAGTCTCTTCTCCTGCATCCTTCTGCCAGAACATGGCTTCCCTGGCGGGTTCGAGGTCTCCTCAGCCGCAGTTTGTTCCCGCAGCGACCTTGCCGAGCAATGTAGCGCCGAGGATTCACCGTGCTGATGCCGTGACTACCCCTTCTCTTTTGTGGTGGATTCGAGGGCGCAGTACGACTGGGGTACAGCATTTGTGAGTTCGGGCTATCGTGGATCTCATGTCCGTCCTACCGCCTAAAATCTCGTTCTTATCAGTCATTCTCACCTGGTGCGTTTGGGACTCAGTTGCCTAGAAGACAGTATCCACCCTCCATGGCCGTGGAGCCAACACTCAGCAACCGCTCGGCTTCAAGATTCGTAAGTACTTTGCTACTTGTTTACGCCGGCTTTGAATCCTGACAAAACTCTTTCATGATCATCTTCCAGGCTTCAATCACGGGCAGTGCCTTCTTCAAAATGCCCCAGAGTGCAGCTCTTCCACATTGCGCATGTCAGTTCCAAATGTGTGGTCACAGGGGATGTTAAACGTCACCACTGCTTCTCGCGCGCATCGAGCGCTCTACAAATGCAACAATGGCGCGCGGCATTTGGGCAACCACAACATAGCGGCTGAGCTGATAGGGCTTGTGAGTGACCTACTTCGATTCCTGATGACAATCACTCATGCGGCCATCCCATATCTCGATGTTACAACCAACACGAGCATGATTGTGATGAACGGCCCCCCCTCGACAAATGCCGAACGGCCTCCTCGTTCAACGAACGGTCCCCTCTCTCTCTCGAAAAATGTCGAACGGCCTCTCCTTTCGACAAATAGTCTCCTCCCTAGACGAACGGCCCTCTCCCTCTCTAAAAAAACGGCTTCCTGCCGTCGACAAGGTCTCCTTTCTCAACGAACGGCCTCTTCCCTTGACGAACGGCCCCCTTCCTCGACAAACGGCCTCTCCCTTCGATGAACGCTCTCCTCCGACGACGAATGGCCTCGTCCCTCCCTCAACGAACAGCCTCCTCCCTCCCTCAACCCCAAGTCTCCCCTTCGACGAACGGCCTCATCCCTCCCTCGATGAATGGGCTCCCTCCCCGTCTTTCCATTTTTTACTGTCCAGTGTATTGGGTGGATCCGGAGTGGCTCACGTAAATACTATTGTCCTAGTTGTACATTAGACAGCAGTAGCTATTATGAATTTGACCTAGTTATAACAGTCAAACCCACCCTCGCGACTTGCATCAGTACTAGCTTAGTAGCTACTCCGCGGTTGCGTGTACTCGTCGCGCTCAGCCCATTTTCTTTGGTATAAATATGTAATGTTATGTGCACGTGATGATGCTGGCCAGGCGGATCGGCGGATCGGCGGCAGTTCGGACTCTCGAAATACGGAACGTCCTCCACATGCTTTTGTTTTTCCTCATGCTACAGTCTTCGAAATATTCCGTGCCACCGATGAGGGTACTTCATCTCTTCTTTCCATTCGTCGCCCATGCACCCCAACAAAATCTCCTCTATGCCTTGTTTTCCTCAGCATGATATCTACCACATCGACAATCCAGTCTGGTTCGCTCTGAAACAGCAGCAGCAGCAATGTGACAATATCACTACCTTTGTTGCGCTACCTGAGCCACACTTACAAGAGGTTCCTTAGTACGATTTTGTTTTCAGGTAATTGATCTATTGACATATGTTCTTTTCAGCCCATTGAACGAGCAGGGACGGCCCTTGACTGTTGAATACTTGCCTCTCCATTTTCAAACACGCCAACTCGATGTATTTTGCTTCCATGGCGATGTCGCTCGCATTTTCAAAATTCCAGGGCGGGGTACCTATAGCGGTCAATATGTCGCTTGTTGCGGTCATACCACAGAGGGTGGGCAGTGCCCATTCTGGAGTTGGTATTCGTCGTTCAAGATTCACTTCATACTGCTGATCAATCATTACAGTTCAATTCAATCGGATCGCTCATAACTGGAATGACAATCTCATCACAGAGAAGTATTCTCTCCGATCTTCCAGCCCATGTGAGTTATCATATCCCTTTTCAGAGGTTTTCTAATCTGATGTTGATTCAGCTCCTGTACTGGATGTGTCGGGGCCCCAGGAGAGCATCCGAGAACACCCATTTGACACATATCGGATGCACCTTGGTAAAAAATTTTGTAGCGTAATAATGCTTTCATCTGATTCTTAACGCTTAGCTATGCAACCACCTGTTGATGATGTTGATGGAATAATCAAGACCTACGCTCCCTCTCCCTTTGACTATTGGATTGCGAATGCCCTGAATCCTGAAACTTTCCCGCAATTTCCGTCAACCTCAAGCCATGTCAAGCACCGAAATGACTGTAAGCGTTGTGGCTCTCTGAACTTCATTCTCTAAGCCCTTCCCGCAGTACGTCTGACTCGTGCTGCTATGTATCGAAAGTCTTTCCGTTTGCTTAGACGTAAAAACTTTTCAACTTCTTAAATATTCAATTTATCTGCGTGCCATACGCACTTCTATTACATGTGATCATGCAAGCATGAGCGAGGTAACCAGGAAGCACGCCGTGTTTCCGTAGAAGCGAAGACCACATCTACAATAAACAAGCATAAGCATCGGCACTGCCCTGAATCACTTTCCCATGTGAATCGTCTGTGTGGTACGCCAGGGTACGCGCTACCACTTACTCAACGTACGGATGGGTCGACCCAGGAAACGAAAACATGGTGAATGGATCCACGTCCCAGATTCCGACGGTGAAACTTCGCCACCTCCCTCAAGCGATTTCATTCCAGTAACATATTTTCATGGATTGGCGACTGGACCAGTTGTGTCGTCTTCCCAAACCTTACACATCCCATCATCACCCTCTCAAATTGACGATATATTGGATGTCGAATCGTTTATGCCAAGTCAGGAAGATCAGGATGACGAGCCAATTCAGAGTCTGTCATCCCTCTTAGATGCTTTTGCTGAAATGCTTGCCATTGATCCAGATTACTTCGATCATCTCAATGAAGTTTCTGTGCTTCCAAGACCCAAAAAGCCTTCGGTAAGAACCTTTCTTGCTCCCCTCTCAAGCCCACATTGATCGAGGTCTCAGGACAACGCATTGAAAGTATGGATGCAAGACCGTGATCGCTTTGTATCGGAGGATATATGTTGGGAGGGGAGAGGTGCCTATACCTCTGGATCTTGTGCACACTGCGAGGCTGTGAGTGAGCAGTATAGATGCATGGATTGTGATGGTGGGCAGTTACTTTGTCGGGGGTGTATGTTGGATCAACACAAAACCAATGGACTCCATCGCATTGAGGTATCAGTCTCTTTTCTGGAGTTTAATATTATTCACCAAACTTCTAAACTTTAGGAATGGACTGGAGCGTATTTCACGGAATGCTCCCTCAAGAAACTCGGCCTCAGAATTCAGCTGGGACATAAGGCTGGCGAATGCTGTTCACATCCTGAGCCAGCATTTGGCGATGACTTCACTGTTACAGAAGTCAATGGAATCCACAGTATTGGGATCGACTTTTGCAATTGCGAGACCGCACAACCACATTTTATCCAGCTTCTTCGCTATCGCTGGTTTCCTTCCACAGTGACGAAGCCCATGTCAGCGGCGACGTTTCGGGTTCTCAAACACTTTCAGCTTCTTTCCTTCGAGTCGAAAGCTTCCGCATTTGAGTATTACAGTGCGTTAGCATGCCATACAAACAATACCGGCGCTCCCTCAAAGGTGAGCTGATGCTTTGTTTTCACGAGTGTTTTTCTGACTATTTCAGGATCGGTATCGTCAATTTTTGCGCATGGTTCGAGAATATCGAAATATCAAGATGTTGAAGAGATTTGGGCGTGGTCACGATCCCACGGGGACTGAAGGAACCGGCAATGGGCAGTGTGCAGTTCTCTGTCCAGCGTGTCCTCAGCCAGGTTGGAATCTTCCGGCTAATTGGAAGGAATCTATGCCCAGCCAACGGTATGATATCTCACGGAATGTATCGAACCATAATGTTCAATTGAAAAAATTAGATTTCTCTACTGTCTCTTTCTTGCGATTGATGCGAACTTCCGTCTGAAGAGGAAACACGTATCGAGCGATGAGGCTGACCCCAGTTTGATGGATGGTAGTGCATACTTCGTAAAGGAGACAGAGTACAAGTCATATCTCTCCAAATATAGTGATCTTATTGAACAACCCGTACGTCCTCTTCTTAGTTCGCTTCTCTGCTTTCTTTTTAATTCCTGAATATGCTTCTAACTTTTAGCCAAGCACATGTTCAAACCACGATGCGGTCAACAAGGAGCGATCGGGGAAAGGGCTTGCTACAACCGGTGCTGGGACTGTTGATTGCGCGCGACATGATATCAAACGTCCGTCATCTGTAGGAGATCTTCAAAAGGGGGAGCGGTAAGTTCAATAGATCGTCTTGGACGCTCTGCTCGCAGCTAATCTCTACACAGATACGTGAATATGGACTACCTCTTCTTTAGTAGCGTAAAAGACACAGACCTGGTTGAGGTAGTCGTCTCATACGACATTGCATGTCAATGGAGCTCTGACATATGGGGTCGAATGATGAAGTACCCCCATACGATGCATGTTGATCATGATGACCATACAAGATTTCGATTCCTTATTCCGAAATTCCATTTACCCGCCCATATTAAGGCTTGCCAGGAGAAGTTCTCCTTCAACTTCAACCGTCATGTAGGAAGAACTGATGGGGAAGCGCCAGAACGCGGGTGGTCTCACATCAACCCTGTTGCGATGAGTACCCGGGAGATGGGACCTGGTTCTCGAAGGGACACCCTCGATGATCATTTTGGTAACTGGAACTGGAAAAAGACGACTCTAATGGGTGCGATAACTCCTTACTATATTCCACACTCGCTAATAGTGATTTAGGCGTAACTCTTCTCAAAAAAATTAAAACTGCAGTTGCAGAGTACTCGGATCATCAGAACCGCTACCTCGAATTCCATAATGGACTACCACAGGCCGCGACCGCCCAGTGGATCAACCAGTTAACAGAGTGGGAAGCTGATCACTCGAAATCTAACCCTTTCATTGCGAAATTCAAAAGTGCGTGTAGTGCAATTGCCTTTTAACATAACTAATTGGTGTTCATTCAGGTGTTTCACAAGATACTGTTCGACGTGCGATGGCCCAGGAGGAAGCAGAGCAGATGATAACTGGTATGGCATATGTAATGCATGAGGCGGTCTCCGCAAGTACGCTCATAATGATGGGTTTGGATATCGAAGAGCAACAGTACGTTTTTCATATAACCTACTTATATTCCACCTACTCAAATCTAACATTCTAGACGACGCCTCCTTTCTGATTTACGCGCCCTTGGGTTACATGCGTCTGATACGCAGAAGACGAAATTACAAACTCGTTCTAACGTCCTTTACCGCAAAATCCAAGCCTGGATCGATATCCAATATTTATACATTCCCCATCTTCGTGTCATTCGTGCTTGTGCTTCCTCCCATCCTGATGGTCGAGAGGAGCGCCCGGAGGCTATCAAATTGTGGCTTCCATCAGCAATCGCACATGACCTCGACAACCTTTGCGATATGCGCCTCCTCAACATTGAGTGGCAGTTGCGCGAAGCACAAGCTCATGATGCATTGGATGAATTGAGGGAGTCCCTTCGAGTATGCTCATATCTATACATCGACAAGGATCGCTTCCAGTTTGGCCAGTACATGAACACGCGCTCACGTACTGTCATATCACGTGTTCAGACCAAGGTTAATGCATCTGCTGCAAAGTACCGTGTTGCCTGTGCTGCACTCACATATTTGGCACCGCCATTGTCAAAGATGGGATGGGTACTCGACTTTCCAAATCTGAAGGATGGAGATGTGCACGGATTGAAAGATCCTGAAGATGATCACCTTGCACGGCGTAAACCCGGTAAACCAAAGTCAGACAGATCCGTACCATCGGAGGGTCATCGTACCATCTCATGGATTTGGACAAAGTTTGGTACAAGTATTCAAGACCAAGAGGATGAGGGTTTACAAGACGGTACATTCCTCACAAGATTCTTAAAACTCTCATCTCACTGGTGTTTAGGTCTACGCATTGAGTACTGTAAGAGCAAGGCAAGAGCCGACCGGTGGTACGAAGAAATTCAGCTCCTGCGAGAGGAAATGCGCCGCGTGCCTCAATACTTTCAAACACATGCCAAAGTGTGGGAGGCACGGATTCGTCATGTTTCTTGGTCGGACAGATTTCCACATGATAAGGAGCAGCGTGCAGATTTCGCAATGGTCGAAGGTCGTGTTGCATACGCAATGCAACAGGCAGCTCAATTTCGGTCCATGAAGTTACATGTTGAGCATCTTTGGCGGTTCGTTGATGAATATGTGAAGATGAGTACTAGCGATGTCATTCCACCTGAACTAGAGGGGGAAGGTGACATCAGTGATAATGATCTATAGACTGCGTATGATACTATTGTAAGATCTAGTGCAGCGGTGGATTAATTGCCCCATGTTTTGACGCCCAAAGGCAGTGGTCAGCCTGATGCTTGTATATGTTTGCCATTACCTTCCTCCCGCTCCAACGCCATCAAATCCTTACATATATTAAATAGAACATCACCCCACCTTGTATTTAAGCAAGAGATGTTAGAAGGACTCGTACTATTCTGTAGATAGCAAATTTGTACCTTGGAATTATATGCTTTTATGCAAAAAATCAAAAATACTTCTGTTTTTAGTTATCAATGTCAGCACGCCCACCGCATCAAGATCAAGTTTGTGCACGCACATTGTTCTGACGGAGATGGGATGATGAAAATCTGAGATACTTACATCGCATCTCAGATTTTTGTGCCTTCGGATGATGCACATTTACTTCCCGATCGCATGATCGGGAAGTGAATGTGCGTCATCGTTTTTGCATGATGCCATCTTGATCAGCTTAGTCATCAATGTTGCGCATCAAGTGCAAGATTGTGAGGTGTGGATTTGCACACATTGCTGTCACCAAGGCACTGTAGCTATATGCACACATATTGTGGTCAAGAGTAAAGTGTGCAAACCATTTTTCACTGTTGTAAGAGTATTGTTTGCACACTCCTGCCAGCATCTGGTGATGTTGGCACATTGGAAGTCAGCCGTATTCCAGTCATCTTGGTTGGATAACAAGACATGTAGTTGGGTTTCCCTTCCCTGTATGAGTTGTGATGAATACTTCGAGTCGTAAAGATATTACTCAGGAATACCGACTGCGGCGAATGTAGGCTCGATGTATGTAGCATAGCTGCAGGTGGAAGAGTATAGTGGCCCGGAATCGCCGCTCCTGGAGGTACCGCTGCGTACGTCTGATTTCAGTAGGAATTAACGGCGAATGAAGAAGACCCAGACGTCACAACGCAACAGGGCTTTTTTTCCTCCCAACGGCTTCCTACTAACGCTCCCACCAATCCTCCCCTACGTTGCCGAAATGAACGAGAGCATATGGGACGAATGAGAAGCGAGATATGGCTGCAAGTCTCTCGGGATAACCGGGAGGACGACGCCATCTGCTCTTTGCGATCTGCTATGAAGTCGCTGGAAACTTGGTGTTTGACTTGAAGGAGATGGTGGAGATTCACGCAGGCAACCCGGGGCACTTCACGCATGCACATGGCGAGTAAGGACATCGAGAGTCTAGCACAGAGACCTAGTCGATGACTTATTAGCTAACCATCTCTTCAAAAGTTTTAAATGCTTAACGTACCTGGGGCCACATGCCAGCAGTACTTTGAACCATCGGAAATGCGTACAGATGAAGAGGAAGGCCCACTACTAAGAAGAGTCGGCAGAGGGCAAGCAAGCATCTTCCGGCCATTCAGACTTTCGCAACCTAAGGGAGCCTCTTGTGTAGGTGAAACTTGTCGTAGTCTACAGCTGCAGTCAATTAGCTGAAGAAGAGTCAGAAGGGATAGAGAGGTAACGCACTGCACTATCCAGCCCTGTGTATGGAGCAGTACCGTAGCGGTACCCCCGTCATGGATGGGCACGGTGATGGGCAAGGTCAAGATGATCAAACACGACCGACTGTTGTACAAGAAAGTTCCGGGGAAGCGCCGCAAGGTGTTGTGATTGTCGATGTGAATACAGCTCGTGAGATCGACTGGTCGGATGGTCTGAAGAAACCGTTTTTCCACGGGAGGGAGCACCGAATTGCTCCCCCCGCAGTTTCCGGATTGGAGATGTAGATCCGAGACCAGATGAGGCTGAGTAGGGTAATAAGTTACTGGCGAAAGAGCGGTTGGTGCAGTCGGTTGTTATGGATGGGTGAATCATGGGTCCGAGTGTGTTTCATGAAAATCCGGATGGGGGGTTATTTTCTGGGCTGATGTTGATGCGCTGTCGTTATTAGGAGTGATGTGTCCATTCAATATGCTGCTGGTAGATAGAGTATATGGGTCAGTGTTGTAAACGCACGGAACTCAGAGTCAGACACGAAGTGTTATGACGACTGTATTTGGTAACTACCTGTAAACGCACGGAACTAAGTACAGGTAGTTGTCAGTAATAGTAAAGTAAAATATGTAAAGTAAACTCACCTCAGAGTCAGACACGAAGTGTTATGACGACTGAGGTGATAAGAAATAAAGTTTTCGTATTTAAAGGATGGGGATTTGTGGCTTGCACAAAGACTGGTAAAGAAGTCACAAAGACTAGCAAATAACGGAAGTAAAACGAGCAATAGAAAAGAGAAAAGAGAGTGAACAAATAAAGCGTACGCGTAAACAATGAGGTCACGAGACGTCTCCTTTAACAAGTGTTTTGCAACTTGCCAGTACGCTTTAACGTACCATCCGCCTCCAACTTGACATTCAGAGAAAGGGCGTGTATGCGACCGAAAGAACCGCCTGAACCACCTCGAGGCGAACCCAGGCCTACCATAAACCTCCATGTGAGGGGCTCCTTTTGTACTACGTTCAAGCCCGTCCGCCTAAGGTCCTTGCTCCTGGGAGATATGATAGGCACGGCGTGTCAAGAATGGGCCAAATTCGTTGTTGGAGGGGCAATTGGCTGCGGAGTTCCGGCCCATAGTCGTCTGTCTGACGCGATTTTACGTCGGTACTGCAAGAAGGAAGATGAAAACTAGACCTATTCGAGGAGGTAAAGTGCTTACCTATCAAGGTCATCACAGCGCCATTACGAAGAACTTGAAGTGCCTGGAGGTTCGAAGGTCGAACGTGGGCGGGCGGGTGATGACGGCAAGGCCCAAAATTAAAACGTGGACGTTGAGATTTCGGCTGCTAGAACGTAGAGGCGGTGAAAGCAAGGTAGTGAGTGGTCTTGGGATTGTGATATTGAACCTGGAATATGGGCCGTTCCTTGCAAGGACTTTTCAGCAAAGATCAAGGGGTTATCTGTGTAATAAAGTGAACATCATAACGAAAGTAAGAAGGCAGGGTAGGGAGAACTCACCTGGCAACTAGACATCGTGCAAGGTTGCAATTGTCTGTCGATGTCACAGTCAACGTTGATCAAAACTTGTCGCAGACATTCGTGTCGGTGTCACTCCACTACATCATGTTCAACCCCACAACTTCTGCCTCACGACATCGTTCATCACAACTGTCATCTCTCCTGGCTAGACGCCCCAAGGACGCTCACCTCTTTTCCTCTACGGAAGGATCCATGGTCTGGTCCTTCGCACCGTTTCTAGGAGGATCGGGCGTCGTTGAGCCACCTTTTCGATGGGAACGCAATTCGTACAAGTCAATGTGGTACGTATTCTTTCCTCATCTGCCAATATTCTCATAATCTGTTCGTTAGTCCAGAGGTTGACTTAACGTAACCATTCCAACGTCCCCATCCTCCCTGGACACAGTACTGCCGCCTAAGCATTGGACGACCCACCGACGGAGTTGTCGATGTCCTTTCGTCTGCCACACATCTCCCAACACACCACCCTCTTGCCGCATCCTGGTTGTTCTGCAGTGGCGCAAATGAACGAAATTGTCACTAATCCAATTTACAGGGCGCTATCGAACGATGGTAAGGAATGTTTTGCCATTCCAAATCGGTTCATCCGCTCATTCACACATGATCTAGTTGGCCAACTATGCGACGTCCAAAGCATGTCACCCAGCGCACCTCACACCCTGTGTACTAACGCAATGGATGGTCGTGGACAGTCGTGATCGCTGGCCGCAGAGATCCCACTGTCACCTTTCCGTTCAACAATCGACACACGTGTTATTCCTCTAAGATACGGCCCCCCGTTGATGGACAGATGGCGAGCGAGGCAACGTGCAACGTTTTGTATTGGGGATGTCTGGTTGGCGGTGGAACGGTGAACCGTCCGACACACGCCATCAGAGAAAGGGGAGGAGGGACAAGCGTACGGGTGACATACGATCGAGGCCAACTTCTGGAAGGTGTTCAAAGTGGTCATGGGGCAGGGATTGCTGCGTGGGGGTTGGATCAGACGAGGCAGCCGCAGGTGGATTTCGTCTGCGTTGTGGAGCGGTTGGCTTCTCAGTAACGACCGAACGGACGAGGGAGAAAATACCTATGCTGCAGCAGGCATGCGTGGTTTAGCTTGCTTTTCGTTTAGTATACGTCATACTTCTTGTGTTGTGGAAGGACGTGATCTGCGACCGAGCGCAGTGGTCCTGGTTTTTTGTGGGTGGGCGATGGAACAAGCCTACCACTTTGATAGCGAAAAGGGGGCTAACTCGATTTGAGGAGGGTGTCAAGTTGCGTACATGGCAGATCCGTGTTTTGGGGTAGAAACTGGCCTTCGATAGAAAATTATGGGAAGCAGAGTAACCGTAGTTCAATATGGTCACATGACTACAACACACTGCAGCGGCGTGCCAACTTTTGACGCTCTAACCATTCCTGTTATCAACCACCATCATCATGAACGCAAACGAGACTATCGGTACCAACAACACCAACAATATGAACATTACAGGGTTGAATCCCGCGGGAAACGACCTTCTGCAAGTAATCAGCGTAGGTGGCCTTCCTGCACTCGAGGTTGTCGCTGCGTCTGGCGACACCTTTCCACCTCTCAAGGCGGCTGTCGTTGAGGCGCTGGCCATAATCGGAATGGTTAAGGTGTGTATCCTTATTGTAATCATTCCGCTATGTCTATATATGCGATGGCCACAGAAATTCAAGATCAATAAGAAGGATTGGGCCGCTTTTTCTGCGAGTCTCATTCGGAAGGTCGAGGAGATTGTTCAGGCTACCTGTCAATACAACGAGAGTCGGGTTCCATTGACTTTGCAATCAAATGTTGAGAATCTGAAAGGGTGCGTGGTTTTGACAGCATTATTGTGGAGACCTCCTTGATTGAAGTCATGCACTAGCATTTTGGATCATATGAAAGAAGATGTGATGAAGATCCAACAACAGACCTCATTTAAGAGAGTAGCCAATTTTAGAAAAGATCCAGAACAAATTGAGAGATTCCAGGCCAAGCTGAATGCACTTGTAAGCATCATGAGGTTTGACATACATAAACTGTTCTAAATCATCTCATTTCCTTGATTATTCAGCCTAACTTTCAGGCCTCTCTTGGGGTTGGTGTTGAGGGAAGTTCAGAAAAAGCAAGTAAGTCAAGTTGTAGATATTTAACTTGATATTCTTTCTTAAATTGTACAGATGCCAAGGGGAGTGAGATTTTGGAAGATACTAGAACACCAGAGGCCACCAAGGCCATCAAGAGAAAGAATATTGTTGAAAGGCCTACAGCTACAGAAAATGGTATGTACATACTTGTACCCCAATACTATTGCTTGATAACTTTTTATTATTTTCATAAAGTACCTCAGGTACATGTGCTTAATCAGGCACATGATTTTCAAATCAATGATAGTGTATTCAATTCTGCAAATACTGTAAGTGATTGACTTGTTTCAAATGCCTCTTCTCAAGACCATTGATCTACTATAGATCATTATTAATGACAACAGGGAAATTGAAGCCAAGATAGCAGATGCAGCAGATCAGTTAAAGGTAAGTTGTAAAATGGGTAAAATTTATCACCAGCTTATATCATCAACAAACAATACAGGTGGAAAAATGGCTGCAAGAGCTTAGAGCTCCATCACATGGCAAAGTAAGAGAGAGATGCATGCCTGGAACCCGACTAGATGTGCTTCATGATATCCAAACATGGCTTGATGATCTTGATATGCATAACATTTTCTGGCTTTCTGGCAGTCCTGGTTCTGGAAAGACAACAATTGCCTCAACTGTGGTTGCTGGTTTTCACTGTTTTTCTGGGCAATTTTTTTTCCATCGTGATGAAGCTGAGCTTCGGGACCCAGATAACTTATGGAGACGTCTTGCTTTGGACCTTGCTCTAGGATCCAATGATCTAAAAAAGGCTATAGCTCAGGCACTGGAGACTCAAAAAGCTAACATCAGAGGCTTTGATATTTCTATGCAATTTGAGCACTTTATTGCCCAGCCACTAGGGGAGATTTTTACAACCTCAGCAAAGCCTCTTCTTATTGTTATTGATGCTCTTGATGAGTGTGATTCATATGAGAAACTCTTGCCTTCATTGACATCCTGGTCTTGCCTTCCTAAATCTTTGAAGCTCCTCATTACAAGTCGCCATTATGGTGATATTCAGAGTTCACTAGAATCTGTCAGTGTTCACCATAATCTACATACTGGACATGAGATATCTACTCAGACTTCTGATGACCTTGAAAAATACTTTATTGCAAGATTTTCTCAGGTAACTAGGTTGCCCCAAAATTGGCCTGGTCCAGCAAAAGTATCACTACTTGTAAAAAAAGTTGCTGGGCTGTTCATTTGGGCTAAATCTGCAATGGACTTTATCTTGAATAAGGGGGGTGATCCTGAAGAGAGGCTAGATATCATTTCTGCTGGCTCTGGGGAAGAAATTGATGCTGTTGACAGCTTGTATCATCAGGTCATTTCTGTTGCTTTGCAAGGTCTCAGAAAATCAGAGGAAGCAACTTTAAGATTGGTTCTGGGTTCAATTGTTATTGCAAAGAATCCACTTCGCATTGAAGACCTAAAAGATCTTCTGGAAGTCAAAGATGCATTGCTAAATTCAATAATCAGTCAACTTAGGCCAATTCTATCTATCAGTGATGCAAGCTATGTGCATGTTTGCCACCAGTCAGTTGCTGATTTTCTGGTGGATCCAAAGAGATCCAAAGATTTTTGGATAGATGGTCAGCTGCACAGTCTCCGTTTTGCTGGCTATTGCTTGAAATTTATGAATGCAAACCTAAAATTCAACTTCTTTAATCTAAAAACATCCTATGTTTTAAACAAAGACATACCAGAGCTGAATGAGCATATCAAGAGAGTAAAATCTACAGCTTTGGATCATGCAAGCTACTTCTGGGCCAGCTATTTACAGAAAATTTGTAATAAAACATTACAGCTGGAAACACAAGCTGCAGTCGAGGAATTTTTGATGGTACATCTTTTACACTGGCTTGAAGTTATGAGTCTGATGGGAACAGTGAACCATGCTGCTCAACTACTGTTGTTAGCTGCAAGTTGGAGTAGAGTGAGTCATAGATATATAAAATTTACTATTATGCTCATACAAATACAGATTTTGAAGTGCAGCTTATCAGACTTTGCAAATGATGCAAGTAGATTTGTAATGGAATTCCTGGAACCAATATCTCTTGCAGCACCACATATATATTTGTCAGCACTGCCATTTGCACCACAAATTTCAAAAGTCTCCATGTGTTTTATGAAGCTATTTCAAAGGACATTGACTGTGAAGATGGGTCAAATGGACCATTGGTCAGAGAAATGTGTTCTCAGACTTGCAGGCCACAATGATAAAGTTGCTTCAGTTGCATTTTCTCCTGATGGCAGGCACATTGTTTCTGGATCTTGGGACAAGACAATTAGAGTGTGGGATGCTCAGACAGGTCAGAGTGTCATAGATCCTCTCAAAGGCCATGATGACAGAGTTACTTCAGTTGCATTTTCTCCTGATGGCAGGCACATTGTCTCTGGATCTAATGACAAGACAGTCAGAGTGTGGGATGCTCAGACAGGTCAGAGTGTTATGGATCCTCTTAAAGGCCATGATGCTTATGTTACTTCAGTTAGATTTTCTCCTGATGGCAGGCACATTGTCTCTGGATCTGATGACAGCACAATTAGAGTGTGGGATGCTCAGACAGGTCAGAGTGTCATGGATCCTTTCAAAGGCCATAATGATACAGTTGCTTCAGTTGCATTTTCTCCTGATGGCAGGCACATTGTGTCTGGATCTTGGGACAAGACAATTAGAGTGTGGGATGCTCAGACAGGTCAGAGTGTCATGGATCCTTTCAAAGGCCATGATGAGTACAGTTACTTCAGTTGCATTTTCTCCTGATGGCAGGCACATTGTTTCTGGATCTTGGGATAAGACAGTTAGAGTGTGGGATGCTCAGACAGGTCAGAGGGTCATGGGTCCTCTCAGGTCATGATGATATGTTACTTCAGTTGCATTTTCTCCTGATGGCAGGCGCATTGTCTCTGGATCTTGGGATGAGACAGTGAGAGTGTGGGATGCTCAGACAGGTCAGAGTGTCATGGATCCTTTCAAAGGCCATGATGATTATGTTGCTTCAGTTGCATTTTCTCCTGATGGCAGGCACATTGTCTCTGGATCTTGGGACAAGACAATTAGAGTGTGGGATGCTCAGACAGGTCAGAGTGTCATGGATCCTTTCAAAGGCCATGATGATATAGTTACTTCAGTTGCATTTTCTCCTGATGGCAGGCACATTGTTTCTGGATCTTGTGACAAGACAGTTAGAGTGTGGGATGCTCAGACAGGTCAGAGGGTCATGGGTCCTTTCAAAGGTCATGATGATACAGTTACTTCAGTTGCATTTTCTCCTGATGGCAGGCACATTGTTTCTGGATCTTGGGATGAGACAGTTAGAGTGTGGGATGCTCAGACAGGTCAGAGTGTCATGGATCCTCTGAAAGGTCATAATGGTAGAGTTACTTCAGTTGCATTTTCTCCTAATGGCAGGCACATTGTCTCTGGATCTTGGGATGAGACAGTTAGAGTGTGGGATGCTCAGACAGGTCAGAGTGTCATGGATCCTCTGAAAGGTCATAATGGTAGAGTTACTTCAGTTGCATTTTCTCCTAATGGCAGGCACATTGTCTCTGGATCTTGGGACAAGTCAGTGAGAGTGTGGGATGCTCAGACAGGTCAGAGTGTCATAGATCCTCTGAAAGGTCATAATGGTAGAGTTACTTCAGTTGCATTTTCTCCTAATGGCAGGCACATTGTCTCTGGATCTTGGGATAAGACAGCCAGAGTGTGGGATGCTCAGACAGGTCAGAGTGTCATAAATTCTTTCAAAGGCCATGATCTTTGGGTTACTTCAGTTGGGCTTTCCTCTCATGGCAGGCACACTGTCCCTGAATTTGGTGACAAGACAGTCCAGGTTGCTGAGATAGATCAGACAATTATGGATCCCTTTGCAGTGTCTTGTCTTTCCCCTTGTGCTACTTCAAGAAATCCCATTGTATTGCCAATCACTCCTATATATTCTGAAGATGGGAACACTAGTATGTCTGACTTCCATAAACCCTTTCTTTGTGATTCCTATGGACCATTGTTAAAATTCTGTCACCTTGATAATAACTGGATCATGCTGCCAGATAATACCTACCTCCTATGGGTGCCACATCAAAATCAATCTGGTTTGTTCTGGCCAAGAACAACTACTGTGATTGGTTGCACTCCAACTTCACTTCAGTTTAAAAACTTTGTTCATGGTGCAAATTGGAGCCAGTGTTTTTCATCATTACATGATCACATTTAAGAAGCTATCCATTCCATAGTCTGGTTACATCATTTGTGTGTGATATTTCATTTATCATTGTGTTTCATTACCCTGCTGTCATTTACCACTTTTATATCTTTTCATTCATTACATGACATATAACAAACCTTTGTGGAAGTGTGCCTTGTTCCATTCATGGCACACTTCACAGTGTTTTGTTATTTTTTTAGTCTTTGCTAAACACTTTCAGTGCAGAGTTAATAGGTTCAATGTATATGTTGCATGAACATGACCTTCCTTTGCTTTCACTGTACCACTATAAGGTTGAAGGATTAGGACTTGTTCAGTGTACCTTTACTTTTATCTTCGTATTCATTATTTTTCTTTTTAGTATTTTATTTCTAGCGGTACAGAAGGTGCAGCATCATTTTTTTAGAATTCCACTGCTTTTACTGTGAAATTACTGCACAGCATCTAGTACACGCAAAACACGTCCGATAGAGATGTATTATGGCTCATTCTGACCGGCTTTTCAATGCGGAAAGTTTACCTGAATCAGATCAAATTTTATTGCATTATTTTGTAGATATTGTATTTTAGAAATATCTTGTAGCAGATTGGCTTTCATTTGTGTTCAAAAGGTTCAGTTCTTCCAAGACGTGAAATATATGTGTATAATATGTATTTGGAGAGCCTCACAAAATTTGAAGACAATCAGGGTGGGATTCGTGATGCAATTGATGAGTTCACAAGCTGCCACATGCACGTTACGTCTCTCTTGCTGCAACCACAATGCATGCCATGGCCAATGTGAAGAACAGCAAGAAACACAAGAGAAAGCCTACCAAAGCTATTCCCAAGACTCCTCAAAAATCAGCATATTTTACTTCAGCTGCAATATTGGAAACAGCTGGACTTTCTGATCCTGATTCTCCACTCTGGTTCCACCAAGCCCGACTCCTGTGGAACCCATGGACACCACTCTAGCTGAAGAACACTCGCAAGAGATTCTAGATGACCCAGAAGCCAATTCTACAGATATCTATACTTCAGCTAACTCTGATTCTGATGACCCTACTGACACTATAATTCAACCAACATCTGCCCTCAAAATCAAGTTGCCTACATTGCCCAAAGAAGCATCCTCATCTGTCAACACCATTACAATCTCAAAGCGACCTAAAGTGAATACAGGAAAGCATTCAGCAACAACTCATCTGGAAACACATTTTCGTGGTGTAGAACTCATGTGGCTATGTATGTCTGTGTAGCCACCAGAATTTATGGACCTCTATGTAGCTCGGGTAGCCCTGTACATTGCGTAGAGATCTATAAAAAAATTAAGGTACTCAACGTAACTCAAAGGAAGCCCAATAGTGATGACAACGAGATTGATATCAGGAGCTGAAGTCTAATTTTGCTTATGCATGCCAAAGTACTAAGAATGATGCATTTTCAAGCCTACTTTGAAGAGACAAAAACTATGGGTATCACTATATGGGCTAGGGAAGAAAGCCGGACATTCCTCTGCGACATTATCTGATGCCCAAGAGTTTGGCTTCCTCCTACCATACTTGGGCATGAGATGACAATTCCGCACAATCCTATCCACCTCGATGATCTCTGTGTAAGGATGATGGTTGCGGGTTGAGGGTTTGACAGTATGTAGGCCAGTAACTGGATCCTGGGTGCCAAAGGGGGTGAACCATTCCATGTAGGCCAGGGGATGAGCCGTTCAGACACGATACAGCGTGGGCAATTTGAAGATCACGCGAATGCATGCTATCCTAAGTCCTAGACATGATCAACTGATAAGTAGAGGTGAAGTAATCAATGTAATGGGCAGCTTACCTTGAAGCGGTGTGCCTTCAGTTTTCTCATTCCGTTCCCCAGTGCATATGAGAGCGAAGTCCATATGTGCACCTTCAGCTGATTGACGGCCACGTGTGGGAACAGGTGGTGTTGCTCAAATGATGTTTTTAGGACTGTTAGAGCTGGCTTGAGGGATTTCTTGAAGAATGAACGAGAGGCATTTGAAGAGGTCGAAGCTGTCAAAGGGTCGCAGGATGATAGGACATCTGGCACTAGCCAGAAACATTTGTAGCACCTCGAGGAACCTGGATGCCTTGAAGAGCAGCTGGGTGGTGCAATGCAACTGAGTATGCATTTACAGCAGGAGATGGGATGCTGGCAGAAGTGGGAGCTGCTTTGGAGATAATGATGGCCTTGTCATCATCACCACCATCGTCGTTCGTGTCTCTGGTGCTGGAGGTGGGTGGGGGGTGAGAGGTGTCTTTGTCAATCTTGTAGGAGCCATTCCGTGCCCAGTTGAGGTAGAGGGTAAATCTGTCTATGGCTTCCCGACGACGAAGCCATATTGTCATTTGTACTGTGTAGTCCTTCTTGTTTGACGCTCGACAGGCGTTCTTCGCGTAGTCGATGTGGAGTTGTTCGGGTGATTCAATGTGGAAGCTGTCTGTGCTGCCAAACATCCTGATAAGGGCGACGTAATGTTGCATTGAGTGAATTTTCAGGATGTTGAAGTGGCCTGGACTGCATGCCTCAAGCTCGATGAAAATGTCTTTGTACTGATGAAAGTTGTCGAGGCACTGAGCCATTGCATCGAGTGTTGTGCTGGTGTGAGATTGCAGCAGTACTTTACCCTCCCCCACATGCTCTGATCAGAGCTGATCAGTTCTGATCAGACAGGATGGTTCAGCACTGAGCAGTTCTGATCAGCACTGAGTTAGAGGTCAGGTGACTTGAACTGTATTTATTAAAGTCAGAAATTCAGACCTCATTATAAAATTCACAAGTAAATTGAATCAAAAAATGATGTATTTCAATTATAATACAAAATATATTTAATTACATACAGTGTATACTAGAGAGGGAGGGGATGGGCCACTTCAGTCACCCATTTTAGGGTACCTATGAGGTTATCCAATTCTTTGAAATAGGGAACCTTAGTGGTACCCCATTCCAGAGTGGTATGACCCTCATACCAATTCCATCATACCATGGTATGGATGCCACATACCATTCCA